TGTGGGAAAATTCTACTACCAGTCCTTCATCACCTTACACGAAATAGGGTGAATACATCTCATTACTCTTATTATTATTTATGAAAATTCAACTGCCAATCTTTCATCATCCTAAACGAAATAGGGTGAATACATCTCAGATATATGATCTACTAGTAGCCTCGAAAACCTATTTTTAAAGAAATGATAGGTTATTTTTTATTAATGAATAGCGTTACATTTTATATAAAAGATCTTTTATTGTCGTGTTTATTTGCCCATTTTAACCAAGTCAAAGTGTACCTATTTGAGCTGATTAAGTGAGCCCTATTCACACTCTCCGCTAGTTCCCTCATCTATCCCTCATTTCTTGGAAGTGTTGGCGCTTTGCGTCAAGCCTTTATAGGACGTATACTCTAGCCTCATTAAGTAGGCTTTCAATGTCTTGATTCTTCCTTACCTCCGTTCGGCGCGTGCATCGAGTAAATCGCATAGCCAAGTCTTTACTTCATGTACCATGTCTATGATTGAACCGTTTACTGTAAGCCAACTTTATCTGATCTCCTCCCCATCTCTCGGGCCTCTATCTAAAACGTCAAGTACATGGCTTTTTTGTTCCCTACACTCATAAGATGTTTTAATTTTATATGGCAAACTTCACCCTAAAAATTCACTCTACCTTTTGAATGCTAAGCTAATCTTGTAAAATGCGTCTAAAGCGTATTCAGAGTAGTCATAAGTTAAGCTTAATCAGTTGATTGGTCCTTTTTATAGTAAAGAAATATAGCAATTGATACAGACATGTCACGGTTAACTTTGGACATGAATGTTTTTACAGGCTATCACGTTATTATATACTACTTACTGGTTATTCATTTAATCGTCTAATATTCCATCTCTTCGTTTAACCAATATCAACCTTATATATTTCTTCAATGGGGATCATCATCTGACATGACTCCAAATGTTATTCATAATAATGGATAACTCTTAATCGAACCCCATTGTGCATTCTTCAGTTTGTTGAGGCCCATTCTTTTTCCATTACTCTTTTCTTCCCAGTTTGGG